ACTCATACTTATCTGAAGATATGAAAACACTAAATGGAAAAGATATAAGCAACCTTATGTTGGTTGAAGTACTGCTTACAAAAGCCAAGACATAGAAATAATCTAAATGTCCACTGATGGAAGACTGGATAAAGAAAAGGTGGAACATTGCTCAGCTATTAAGAAAGACAAAATCTTTTTGTGATAACATGGATGGAAATTGAGGTAATTAAGCTAAGTGAAATAAAGTCAGAAAGAGAAAGACAAATACTGGACAAAAATACTGGATGGTTGCATGTGTGGAATATAAAAACAAAGCAAAAGAGATAACAAAACAACAAAAACACCTCTAGAATTTGAGATCAAAATGGTGCTTACCTCATGGGCCTAACAGACATCTATAGGACATTGTACAAAAAAAAAAAAATTGGAATACACATTTTTCTTAGGCAGACACAGATCATTCTCCAGAATCCAATATAACATCAAAACGATAATATAACATGACCAAGTGGGATTTATTGTAGGGGCACAAAGCTTGTTCAAAGACCAAAAATCAATTAATATAATTCAACACATCAACAAAAAGAAAAGCAAAAACCATATATGATCCTATCAATAGATGCTGAAAAAGTTTTTGACATAGTTAAACACCCATTATGATGAAGAATTAAACATAAGACCTGAAACAATAAAATACATAGAAGAAAATATAGGCAAACATTCCATGACATACATCTTGGAAACATCTTTAAAGACTCCCCTTGATGCAAATAAATTGAAGGAAAAGATAAGTAGCTGGGACTACATCAAACTAAAAAGCAAAGCAAAAAAGACAATAAAGTAAACAATAAAATAGACAATAATGAAAACAAAGGGACATCCTACTGATTAGGAGAAAATATTTGTACTCTATACAACAGATAAGGGACTGATTTCAAAGATCTACTAAGAACTCACAGGACTTAACAAAAACAAAATAAACAATCCAGTCAAAAAATGGACTGAAGAGTGAAAAAAGCCAGAAGGAAAAAGAAAAAAATCGGAAGGTCTCACGCATAGCAGGAATTTAGAAAACCTAAATAAGGGACCAGGAAAAAGACTAATTATAATGTAACAAAGTAAAAATCAACAAGGGACAAACAACTATAAACCAGAGACACACTGGGGCGGGGGAGGGAGAAGAGAGGGGGATCAGAACAATGGGGGGTGGGAATTGTATGGGGACTATAACCAAGATGAAAATTCATACATTGTGCAAAAATGAAAAAGGATGTAAAAAATATATTAAAAAATCTAAAAAAATGGACTGAAGAGCAAGACACTTCTCCAAAGAGGAAATGCAAATGGCCAACAGGTAAATGAAAAAATGTTCAACATCACTTATAATCAGGGAAATGCAAATGAAAACCACAATAAGACACTGCATCACACCAGTGAAAATGGTCCATGTTAAAAAAAAAAAAAGGCAACAACAAATGCTGGTGAGGATGTGAAGAAAAAGGGACCCTCTTACACTGCTGGTGGGAATGCAAAATGGTTCAACCACTATGGAAAGCCGTGTGGAGGTTCCTCAAACTACTAGAGACTCATCCCTTGATGCAAATAAATTGAAGGAAAAGATAAGCTGCTGGGACTACATCAAACTAAAAAGCAAAGCAAAAAAGACAATAAGGTAAACAGCAAAATAGACAATAATGAAAACAAAGGGACATCCTACTGATTAGGAGAAAATATTTGTACTCTATACAGCAGATAAGGGACTGATTTCAAAGATGGAGCTACCTTATGACCTAGCAATTCCACTCTTAGGAATCTACTCAAAGGACACAAAAACACTAATTTGAAAGGAAACCTGCCCTCCTATGTTTATTGTAGCACTATTTACAATAGGTAAGACTTGGAATCAATCCAAAATGCCCCAAAATAGATGACTGGATCAAGAAGATGTGAGACACACACACATACACACACACACATACACACACACACTGAAATACTACTCAGCAATCAAAAAGATAAACTCATGCCATTCGCAGCTACATGGGTGGAGCTGGAAGGGATTATGCTCAGTGAAGTAAGTCAGAAGGAAAAAAAAAATATTGGATGGATTCACTTATAGGAAGAACTAAGGGAAACTATACAAGGGAGCAGGGGGGGAAAAGACAAAACTCACAGTCAAACTATAAATTGGAGACAGTCATCAGGGAAGGGGAGAAAAAGGGAACAAAATGTGAGGAAAGAGCACAAAAGTCTATGGTGATGGTTCATGGATGTCTTGGTGGTGGTAATTTTAAGGGGACAACACCTCAGAGGAGAAATCAAACATTGTACAAATATGAACAATGGTGTAAAAATATAAAAATAAGCAAATTATATATATATATATACACACATATATATATCCATTGGTCTAATTCTGGAAGAGATAAAACTATGGAGGCAATAAAAAGATCAGTGGTTGTCAGGGGTTAAAGTGCAGGGAGGGTGGGGTGAATAGGCAGATCACAGAAGATTTTTAGGGCTATAATGCCTCTGTATGAGTTGTAATGGTGGCTATATGGCATTATACTTAGGTCCAAACCCATAGAATGTACAATAACAAGAGAGAACTCTAATGTAATCTCTGGGATTTGGGTGATTATGACATGTTGATGTAAGTTAATCAACTATAACAAATGTACCACTCTGGTGAGGGATATTGGTAATGGAGGAAGCTATGCATGTATGGGAGCAGGTTTTATATGGGAAATCTCTGTATCTTCCACTCAATTTTTCTGTGAATCTAAAACTGCTCTAACAGTAAAAAATGTAAAAATAAGTAACTTCATTTAGAGGCATGTTTTTATTTATTTGTTTGTTTGTTTGTTTATACATGCACTGGGTACAGTCAGAAGCACGGGAGGGTGAGAGAATTCACCAGAGCCAGAGCACGGAACAGAGCAGGCAGAAGGACCGAAGTACACTGCTGAGGGGAGCAGCGGGCGGCAGGAGAGGTCTGCACGCCATGTGGGACCCTCCTCAGGTGGCCAGGGAGCAGCCGGGGATCGAACCTGCGCCGCGGAGGCTGCAGGCAGCTTTGCAACCCAGCGCTCAACCTCTGCGCCACTGGGGAGGCCCAGTAACTTCATTTTTTTGTAAAAAATAAATAAAAATTTTAGGGCCTCCCTGGTGGTGCAAGGGTTAAGATGCAACCTATGAAGCAATCCGCAGCACTGAAGCACAGTTTTGATTCCCAGCCAGCCAGGGAGCATCCCACATGGCACAGCAGACCTCTCCTGACTTGCCTGCTGCTCCCCTCAGCAGTGTACTTTGGTCAGTCTGCCTGTTCTGTTCCCCACTCTGTCTCTGGTGAGTCTTGGTGAGCCCCAGCCCTTGTATGCATAAAATAAATAAATAAGTAATTAAACAAACAAATGAATAAAAAATTTAAAACAAAACAAAACCAAAATGGTGGTTACCAGAGGGGAAAGAGGATGGGGAGTGGGAGAAATGGGTACAGGGGTTCAATTTACTAGTGGTCAATGGTACTAAAAGTTTGGTGGTAGGTGCAGTGTGTTATATATACACATCAAGGTATGAAGCTATACTCCTGAAACATATACAGCTTTGTAAACCAATGGCGAATAATACAAAAATAAAATAAAAGCACCTATTCAAGCATTTAGGCCTCAAAAAAAAAATTAAAACCTTGACATAAAAACCCCCATATTTAAGTATATAACTCAATGGTGTTAAGTATATTTATATTGTTGTAAAACAAATCTCCAGCATATTTTCATCTTGTAAAACTGAAACTACCCATTAAAGAACTTCCCTTTTACCCTTCACCTGCACTGGATAATGAATCATTCTACTTTCTGTTTCAATGAAACAGATTCAGTGATTCATTCTGTTTCAATGAAATTGATTTATTTAGATATCTAATTTAAATGGAGTCATGCAGCATTTACCTTTTTGTAATGGCCTTACTTCATAATGTTCTCAAGGTTCATTCATTTGGTAGCATGTGATAGGATTTTCTTCTTTAGTTTAAGGCTCAATAATATTTCACTATTTGTTTATCTATTTGTTTATCTATTTCTCCTTTCATGGATATTTGCATTACTTCCAAATCTTGGCTGTTGTGCATAGTGCCAAGTGAACATGGGTGTGTAAATATTTTTTCAAGTCAATGGTTTCAATTCTTTTGGATATGTACCCAGAGGTGAGACTGATTGCTTGCAATATCGCCAAACTGTTTTCCACAGCAGTTACACTATTTCATAATCCCTCCAACAGTGTCTAAATCTTCCTATTTTCCAAATCCTTGCCAGCCTCTGTCACTGTTTTTTTTTAAATTTTTTAAAATTTTTAAAAAAGATTTATTTATTTATGATTACAAGAACTGGGGTACAGGCCAGAGACAGAGTGGGGAACAGAACAGGCAGATAGACTGAAATACACTGCTGAGGGGAGCAGAGGGCGAGTCAGGAAAGGTGTGCTGCACCATATGGGTAGCTCCCTGGCCGGGAATCGAACTCATGCAACAGAGGCTGCGGCCAGCTTCACAGTGCTGTGCTCAACCCCTTGTGCTGCCAGGGAGGCCCTGATTTATTTTTTAAGAAAAAAAAAAAAAGAAACAGCCATCCTGACAGGTATGAGGTGATACCTCATTGTGGCTTTGATTTGTACTTCTAGTCTATGAGTGTATCTTTTTGTATAATTCTAACTTAGACCCATCATAATGTTTCACACTACTTAACACAATGAAAAATATAAACAACAAAAACCAACTAAGTTGCTGGGAGTGGAATGAGTGGTGGGGAGGACCCAAAATAGAAACTAGGGTTCCCTGGAAGTGTGGTTGATTCCTGAGCTTAGGGAGGGAAAACACAAGTTTAAAGTATCGATTTAGACATCTCCTTTAAAAGGAATCATAAGTATTTATCTTTTGTTAAAAAACCTGAGGGCATGTAGAAGAGGACATGAGTCACTCCAAAGCAGTTCCCAATGGGTAAAGCACGAATTATTTGAGAAATAAAACAAATGATAGGCTTTTAAAAAAGATTTATTTTTATTTATGCATACAAGAACTGGGGTTTAAGCCAGAGGTGCGGGAGCTGAGAGGATTTACCAGAGACAGAATGGGGAGTGCAACAGGCAGATCTACTGAAATACACTGCTGAGGGGAGCAGCAGGTGAGACAGGAGAGGTCTGCTCTGCCATGTAGGTTAGCTCCCTGGCCAGGGATCAAACTTGTGCTGCAGTGGCTGATGACAGCTTGATAATGCTGAGACTTAACCCCTTGTGCCACCAGGGAGGCCCCACAAATGATAGTTTTGAATGCTTATCCATAGAATAAAATAAATACCCTGGAGCCCCGCAGGTATCAGCAGTAGACATGTGCCCAGGTAGGACATGCAGGAAAACCATGCCTTCCAGCACCACCAGCCCCAGTGCCCTCAACACCCTGGAAGGAGCTCCAGGAAGCCCTGCCTGCCAGCACCAGCCATCCAATAGACACATGCCCAGATGGGAGATGTGGGAACCCTATGCCCTACTGCCCCACCAACCCCAGCAGACCCCAATGCTCCAGTAGTAGTGCCTGGAAATCCCACTCTCTGGCACCAGCCATAAAGTAAATGTGCACCCACGTGGGAGCTGTAGGGAACACACACCCCTCCCCCAGCTCCAGTGTTTCCAATGCCTCGGTAGGAGCACCCATAAGCCCTGCCCATTGTCATCAGTGGTCCGGTTGACAGGAGCTGAGGAAGGAGCTGCAGGGCCCATGCCCCTGTCTCCATTCACTAGCCACAGTGGCCTAGGCACCAAGCAGGTTCATCTACAACCCAGTAAGAGCACCCAGAAGTCATGCCCACTGGCATAAGTGTTCTGGTGGCCCTACACCTAGAACAAACCCGAAAGCAAATAATGGGGAAAAAGAAAAATACAAATGGTCAAGCAAGCCCTCTTGGAAACAACATACCACAGAAAGAAAAAAATCAGACTGTAGAACACAACAACACTGATACAAAAGATAAAGAATTTGATAAAGAATTCAAAATTGCCATACTCAAAAAACTTAAAGATATAAGATGCAGAAGAGAAAAATGAGAATATATAATCAATGAACAGAAAAAAAGGAATTAAATATTTAAATAAGAAGATAAAGGAACTGCCAGATGTTAAAAGATCAAAAGAGGAGCTAAAAAAATTCTGGGAAAAGCCACAAAAATAGAACAGATGAAATGGAAGAGTGAATCAGTACTCTCCAAGATACCTATTCAAAATTTATGAAGAAAGAACAGAGAGATACAAAGAAAAAAGAATGAGGAAACACTTCAAGAATTATCTAACACCACGAGGAAAGGAAATATAAGAGTCATAGGAATTCCAGAAGGAGAAGAGAGAGAAAAGGGAACTGAAAAAGTATTCAAGGAAATAATCGAAGAGTACTTCCCAAACTTGAAGGAGAAAATGAAAATAGACATACAGGAAGCTAGAGGACACTAAACTATCATAATGAAAGGAAAACTACAGCAAGATATAATAGATCTTCCAAGAGTCAAAGACAAAGAAAAGAATAATGAAACTGACAAGGGGGAAGAAACAGATAACCTGTAGAGGAAAACCAACTAGACTGACAGACTTCTCTGAAGAAACACTACAGGGGACCACTCTAGTGGCTTAGGGGTTAAATCTCAGTGCTTTACCACTACTGCCTGAGTTGGATCCCGGGCCAGGGAGCTAACCCACATGGCACAGCAGACCTCTCCTGTCTCGCCCACTGCTCCCCACAGTAATGTATTTCCGTAGATCTGCCTATTCTTTTCCCCACTGTCTCTGGTGAGTCCTCTCACCCCTCCGAACCTCTGGCCTACTCCCCAATTCTTCTGCAAACACAGACACACACACTCAAATAAAAAAATAATAAAATAAAAGGCAATAATTTAAAAAAAAGAAAGAAAACTACAGCCAAGAAGATAATAGAGCAACATATTAAAAAAATCCAAGAGAAAAATTCCACTGAAGAATACTTTATCCTTCAAAGCTCTCCTTCTTCTATGATGGAAAAATAAGGACCTTTTCAGAAATTTGCTTCTACTAAACCCCTATTTCAAGAAATAGTACAAGAAGCCTTAAACTATAAACCAGCAGAGAAATGAACAGAAAGAACGGAACAAGGTACTGAATAGAACCACAAAATAATGAACAAAATGGCAATTACAGACTTCTATGTATCAATAATCTCCCAAAATGTAAATGGACTAAACTCACCAATAGAAAGACACAGAATGGTATGCTGGATTAGAAAACAAAATCTAACCTTCTGTTGTCTCCTGGAAACATATCTAACTGCTAAAGGTAAACACAGTTTGAACATACACAGGTGGAAAACAATTCTTCAAGCAAATGGCCCCCAAAAGAAGGCAGGGGCATCCATACTTACATGAGATAAAATAGACTTCTAGCTAAAAAAAGGTGACAACAGACACAGATGAACACTATACAATGATCAAGGGGACAATCCATCAAGAAGTTATAACAGTCATTAGTATATACTCATCAAATGAAGAAGCACCAAACTACATTAGACAATTATTGTCTCTGAAAACAGATACTTTTAAAAAATACACATAGTAGACTTCAAAACCTCTCTAAAGAAATAATACAAGAAGTCTTAAAATATAAACCAACAGAGGAATGAATAGTACTTCAGAGAAGTCTATTGTCAGTCTAATTGGTTTTCCTTTATAGGTTATCTGTTTCTTCCCCCTTATCAGCTTCATTATTTTTTCTTTGTCTTGGGCTCTTGGAAGATCTACTATTGTATCTCGCTATAGTTTTCCTTTCATTATGATAGATAGTTTAGTGTCCTCTAACTTCCTGTATGTCTATTTTCATTTCCTACTTCAAGTTTGGGATGTACTCTTCAATTATATAATCCAAATAAATAAACGAGGGAGAAGAGACAGCTCTTCTCCATAGAGAATTCCAATTAATAAATTTCTGAAGCCAAAATCCATATTACCTATTGAATCAGGCTGCCTCAAAGATAACTAGCTAAGTTTTAAATAGTCAGCAAATTTAGTAGATCCTTAAATTGATGCCAAATGCTACCCCAAGACCTCAGTATATCAGGGGAAAACAAATGTCTAGGTGTAATAGCCTCTGTTAGAATATATATTTAAAATTAGTCTATGATGCTTACTTTATAGTTCCAGGCAGGGTACCTCCATGGGCTTGTAGCAACAAGACCTGTAGCTGTTGTACCTAGGAAAAGCAAAGAAACAGTCAGCTAGTAACCAACTTAGACCTTGTCAACAGAATTACTACAGCTAACAATAAAGTAATTTAACATATGCCTATGAAATCTAAGGTATATCTTAGGTATTACAGAAATCATTAGGGTTGATGAGTCAATGGTAGAAAGGAAAATCAGCATTATAAGAACATTTAGTTCTTAGAAGATGGGTTATCCTTTTTACCTAAGCATCTTAATGAGTTTTTATTGGACAGTGGGGTATGCAATGCAGGGGGATACAAAAATAAATTCTTGTGTATTCTCAACTTTGCAATCTAGTTGAAGAAAACAAGCCTAAGGAATGGAATAGGAAATGCTACAAGACAGAAGATGCTAAGTCATCAAGCATAATTAAGTACTTTAGGGTTCTGAGAAGCATAAAATTAATGAAATCCCAAAACAGTTAAAGGAAGTCTTCATAGATATGGGTATTAGACCACAGTGTATATGCAATTATGCTTTCCCACGCCCTCCTCTGACAAGAGTAAATATTATGCTTGTGCTTTGGGACCCCAACTCTTGCCCCATGATGAACTTACTATACTTGTTATCCTTGCTCTCTTCTTTACCTTCAAGTTTTCCCTTTCTACAGGATCCTTAAGAAAAACAATTCCCAATCCGAATCCCTTTCTCTTTTCCCCTATTTCTCTCCTTCACTATCAAAGTGCGAGAGAATAGTCCATACCCCCTGTCTCTGCTTCCTTTTGCACACATCTGGATTGCTCCTCAACTGATTCCAATTTGATTTTTGCCCATAGAATTCCCATGAAATAACTCGCTAAAGTCACCAATTTAATGTCATTATATCCCACAGGCATTTTTCAGGCTTTATTTTACTTGATTTACTGTTTGGTAACATTTAGTTTACCAGACATCATACTTTTCTGCTTTTACTGCTACTCTTCTGGCTCACCTTCTAAGTCTCTTTCTTGCTTCATCTTTGCTCTACTTGTCTTTTAAATGACAAAGTTCCTCAAACCAGTCTTCTCATTTTATACTCTACCCTTAATGTCTTATCCTGTCTATAGTTTCAATTACCATTTGTGAATTGGTGATTCTCAAATTTATTTCAAATATATCTTCTATATTCAACTGTCTACTTCATATTTGCACTTAGTTGCCTGCTATTCCTAAACCTGTTCCTTCACTAGTGCACTAGGGCAGTGAATATGCAGTCAGTGCTAGACACCAGGATGTCATCCCCACATCCCCTTATTTAATCTATTGTTCATGTCTTTCTATCACCCTTAATTCCAAGTCACCATTATCTCTCTCTTGAATAACTGCAATAACCTCTTAAGTAGTCCCCATGACTCTACTCTTGCTCCACCATATCCATGTCCACACAATAGTCAGACTATCCTTAAAATATGTAAATTATCAATGTTTACATTATTTAAACTTATTTTCAAGACCATGAGTGCTGTAATCAGGTCTATGGTTCTTCTCTTGCCTCATCCTGAAACACTCTTTCCTTGCTCTCTCTAGTCTAGGCACACTGGCTTTCTTTGAGAGTTGTTCAAATGCACTATACTCTTCCTAACTTAGGACCTTTGTAGCACTGGTTATATGCCTGGCATGGTTCTAAGTCCTTTATACACATTAACACATTGAACCCTCACAAAAACTCTATGAAGCAGGTACTATTATCATTCCATTTTATGGATAGCTACCTGAGGCACAGAGAACTTGCCTAAGGTATGCAACACAGATAGTGAATTATAAAACCAGGATTTGAACCCAGGCAGTCTAGAGGTGGTGTCAACGTCTTCAACTAATATACTTGCTACACATGTCAATTATTCTCCCTGGTATCCTCTCTTCCTTCTTTTCTGCATAGATAATTTTTATTCAATCCCTCAGATCTCAGCTCAAATGTTTCAGACTGATATATAACAGAAAATCCTGTTCCATAGCTGCATGTCATTGTATAGCATACTACCAAGTTAAAAATATATATTAGTATGATTATGTGTTTAGTGGTTTTGTCTCTCCTACTAGGGAATAAATTCCATGAAGGCAAAAACACCTGCTTGCTCAATAATCCAAGAATAGTGCCTGGCAAATAATAGTATTCAGTAAATATTTGTTGGAATGAATGAACAAATAAATGAACAGGATGAAGGGTATTTTTGGCATAGGAACAAACATGTAAGAAAACAGAAGAGCAGAACTGAATATCATAGTTTATAAGAAATGATACTGTGGACAGATATTCTCATAATGATCCCCAGGTGGGAAGGAGACAAAGTGGAAAGAGTACTATACAGTAGAAGGCAAGAAAACTTGACTGCCCCAAACCTGGATCAATCCAACTACCTCTCGTTGAAGCTCCTCTACCAGCATTACTGAGCTGTTGCATAACCAGCCATATTGATAACCAGTACAAATTTATGCTCCTACTCAGCCTCTTCTTCCATTTCTATTTTCAACCCTATGTTCACTCTATTACTTTCTCACTTGCTCTTAGAAGATGACCTTGCTTCCTACTTCACTGATAAAGGTCATTAGGCTGAAAATACCTCAATTTCCCTTTTCCTCACTTTAAATTAGTGCCTCTTGGGCATGTATCCCTTCTACTGTCTAAAGCAAATCCTAGCCCCTATTTTCAGTTTCAGTCTGTCCCAATTGGTTCTTTCACTTGTTCAAGTGTCTTCCATATTTTAAAAACAAACAGACCTACATCCTATGACCCTTGACTACATAGCTATTGCCTTCTTTCACCTTGCTATCTTGGAAGAGGAGCCTATTAGCTTCTCCTACTCCCTTATATAGCATTCATTGTCCATCCCACAGCAATTTGCCCCTATCATTCTCCTGACCTTCTCAGAGAGGTCACCAATAGCTTCCTTGTTAACTAAAAAAAAAAGGATAGTTTCAATTGTTATTTTATTTTACATTTCTTGTCTTCCATGGTACCACTGGTTTTCTTTCTGTTTTAATCTAGCTGAGTCTCTATTGTCTTCCCTCCTTCCTCCATTCCTTAAATGCTGCTATTCTCCCAGAGGTCTGCCTTTGACCCTCTTCCCTTCTTGTCCATTTACTCATTTAGAAAATATTTAGTGATTATCTTTAATGTGCCAGGCACTCTTTGATCTCATCCACTCCATAACTTCAGACATTATCTAAATGCAAATAATTCTCAAATCTGTATCTTCAGAATCTCATCCCTGCCTACCTCTCTTACTATTCACTTCTTCTTTATCAGGCATCCCCAATGCCACCCCCAAAATACTAAATATGACAATAAACATGTTAATAGGAGTTACTTTAAGATTTCCCCAAACTAACAATGTTTACCCAATGTAACTTCTGGTAGAGGAGAAGCTAAGAAATAGAAGCTCTATCATTCCACTCACATACTTATAATTTTTCCCAAGAAATTTTAAGTCCCTTATACCTGTTGCTTCAGATGATTAAGTTCAGCTGTCTGTGGATCAATATTAACAATAGGTTTGTTCTTAATTTTTCTTGCTCTGTCAGCATAGCGAAGAGTATTTAATGTTTCCTCTAGATTGGAGTCAGCAGGACTCACACAGGCTATCATAAGTGTATGGCTATTTCCTCCTAGAGAATCTGAAAAAGAACAACAAAAGGAAATAAAATCAAACAAGTAGGATGGAAACAAAACTATCCATTTAGGTTGGTAACTTCAAACTCAGAGCTATAAGGAAAAAAATTTACAAAAGCAAAATCTTAAATTTGTACAAATGTCTTATTTGTGACTATAAAAATCACTAAGATTTTTGATGTGAAAACCATATCACTTAGAATCCTATTGCATGTATCCCCACTCTTGAAAGAGACTGTGATTTCAGCAGCTAACAAGTTAAAGCAACTGGAGACCTGGCTCAAGTAAGTTAGGAGCCATTACTAGGAAAAAACATTCTTAGGATAACCCCTCTAGGCAGATTTTTAACTCATCAAGGAATTCTGCTTATAAGCACTAATAATTAAAGAAACAGTAACCAATTCATTTTCAGGCATCAAGTACTAAGTACAGTTGGAATTCTTCTCAAAGCTATATATGAAGACCTCTTTCCATTATCCTTAAAGACTGTTTGCTAACAGGTCTTTCTTCTGTTTATCAATTAGACAGCTCTGTATATGACATTCCAAGAATCTTGGTATTTTATTTATTCCATTCTCACTTTCACATCATTATCATTCTCAGTTACTGTCTCTATTTTGAGAGGCACTTTTGTGTTACCTTGAAGCAGTCGAGTCAACTTGGAATCTCTGTAGGGCACAAAGCCACCCTTTTTGTCATCTCCAAGAGCACTGATAACATTTCCCAAGCATAGGAGGCCTCTGTTAATATTAATACCTAATAACAGGAAACAAAATTTAAATTGCTTGGTAAAGCATCTAACATATACTATCTACATTTATCCTGAGAAAGATAAAAGAAATAAAGACCCTACAGAAATATTAAGCCATCAATCCTGAGATTTTTTAAATTTTTTTTTTATTTATACAGGCACTGGGTACAGTCAGAAGTGCGGGAGGGTGAGAGAATTCACCAGAGCCAGAGTGGGGAACAGAACAGACAGACTGACGAAATACACTGCTGAGGGGAGCAGCGGGCGTGGCAGGAGAAGTCTCCACACCATGTGGGACCCTCGCCGGCGGCCAGGGATAGAACCAGCATTGCAAAGGCTGCGGGCAGCTTCGCAGCCCAGCGCTCAACCACTGCTCCACCAGGGAAGGCCCCTGAGATTTCTTAATCCTGATCACTTTTTTGAGAGAGGATCTTCAATTTCAAAGGACAAAGGTTAAAATGTTGTTTCTGTACATTGAGTCTATTCTAGTCCTTGCTCTTTCTCATGGTAACAAAGCAGACAGAAAGATAATTAACATCATGACAATGACCATTTGTATAGTTGTTTACTTTTTATATACACTATCATTAAATTAATGTGAAATTAATCAGTCATTTTAATTATCATCTTATTATTATTATTATTTTACTATCATTCTCATTTTACAGATAACAAAACTAATTCAACCATTAAATTACTTGTCTAATTTCAAACAGCTGGTAAGTAGGAGGCCTGAGATTCCATCTCAAAATTTCAGTCAAGGCCTATCCTTGTTCCATTATACCACACTAGAATATTTTCTTAGTTGCTCCTCTCTTGTGCCTTTCAAAAGGGTAAAGATTGCTTTCCACTTCTTAAATTCCAAGATTAGCCTTTTATTTTTTTTAAGATTTATTTTTATTTATGCATCCAAGAACTGGGGTATAGGCCAGAGGTGTGTGTGTGGTGGGGAGGGGGGGGGTGAGAGGATTCACCAGAGAGAGAGTGGGGAGCAGAACAAGCTGACTGAAATACACTGCTGAGGGGAGCAGTGGGCGAGACAGGAGGTCTGCTGCGCCATGTGGGTTAGCTCCCAGGCTGGAGATCTTGTGCTGCAGTGGCTGCTGACACCTTCACAGTGCTGAGACTTAACCCCTTGTGCCACCAGGGAGGCCCCCTGGTTAGCTTTTTAAACATTCTAATAATCTCTGAGGCTTCTCTAAAGCCTCCAGAATTCCCATGATTGTTTCCTTTTTTTTTTTTGGTGGAATGCAGCGTGTGTGTGTGTGTGTGTATAATGGTAAAGTGCATGGGTTTGGTGTCCAGTTGACCTAGGTTCTAATCTTGGTTTTATCAGTGACTAGCTACATGATTTGGGTAAATTCCTCTAGAAAACTAGGCAAATCTCCCTACCTAATTGTATTGTGGTGGGGAATTAAATAAGTTACCTTACACAAAACCAGGTTAAAAGATGAGTAAATGGCATCGTTATTGTTAGGACGCTGTACAATTAACTTACTTACCTTTACTTTGTAATCCCTTATGACCTAAAATAATTATGTCTACAAAATTCTGAACTGTAGGGGAAGTCTGAGGGCACCGGGAAGTGCACTACAGACACCATTTCGCAATACAGGGAGCTTTGGGTGAGGACCCCACGAAACCTCTGTGGAACTAAGAAAGGGCTATCCCCGCAGTCAGAGGTGAGTTGAAAAGCGCACAGAAGCCAGGCCCCATGTCTGACCGCAATTTGGAGCCCAGAGAAGGATACATTCACCATTGGGGTGGACCACAGGACTTCAAGAACCCCTCTGGAACTAAGTAAATACAGAGGGAGGGGATTTTCAGGGACAGTGACCATTAATATACTCATGGTACCACTGCCTTACTGGAGTTCTGGCGTAATAGTACTGGACTCAATCGGGCCACCAGCATCCAACATCCCAGAAGGAGTAGCCGAAAGAGATGCCCATCAGCAGCAGTGGCACAGTGTCCCAAAGCATAGGACACATTAGAAAACAAAGAGCAGGGAGAAGAAAAATTACAAACAACCAAGCAAGCCCTCAGGGAAAGGACACACCACAAAAAGAAAACCAACCACCAGAATGCAACAACAGTGACTTGGAAGAATTTCTCAGCCTTCTAGATAGAAAATTTAAAATTGCCATGATTAAAAAACTGAAAGAAGACAAAAAGGAATAGAATAACATGAGAAAAATAATCAATGATCAGAAGAATGAAATTGAGTGCCTAAAGAGGGAAGTGAAAGAAATGCAGAAGATTGAAAGATTAATGGAAGAGCTGAAGAACTCTGGGAAAAGCAATGAAAACCTAATAGAGGATATGGAAGAACGAATTAGTACTCTTAAAGATACAGAAATAAAAAGAACCAAAACAGACAAGGAAAGAGAAGTACAAAGGAAAAAGAATGAAGAAACACTTCAAGAACTATCTGACATCATCAGGAAAGGAAAAAGAGTTATAGGAATCCCAGAAGGAAAGGAGAGAGTCATAGGAACAGAGAAAACTTTTAAGGAGATAACTGAAGAGAACTTGCCAAGCATAAAAAAGGAGCTGAAGCAAGGAGATGAACAACAAATTTCCACGATAATAGGAAAACTACAGCAAGACACACAATAATAAAGCTCCCAAGAATTGAAGAAAAGAAAAAATGCTGAAGTTGACAAGAGGGAAGAAACAAATAACATGCCAAGGAAAACCAATCAGGCTGACATCAGACTTCTCCAAAGAAACACTATGGGCAAAAAGAGAGTGGAGGGCTATAGTCAAACTCCAAGACAACAAATACCAACCAAGAATACTTTATCTCACAAAGCTTTCCTTACTCTATGAAGAAAGAATCAGGACCTTCCCAGACAAACAGAAACTCCAGCACTGGGTAGAGTCAAGCACTGGGTAGAGTCAGAAGCGTGGGAGGGTGAGAGAATTCACCAGAGCCAGAGTGGGGAGCAGAACAGGCAGACTGACAAAGTACACTGCTGAGGGGAGCAGTGGGCGTGGCAGGAGAGGTCTATGGCGCCATGTGGGACCCTCACCAGTGGCCGGGGATTGAACAAGCACTGCAGAGACTGCGGGCAGCCCTGCAGACCACAAAAGATAAACATAGGCTTATTTAACCACAAAAGATAAACATAGGCTGAAAGTAAAAGGATGGAAAACAATCCTATAAGCAAATGGACCAAAAAAGAAGGCAGGAACAGCTATACTTATATCAGTTAACATTGACTTCAAACTAAGAAAGGTAAAAAGAGACCTAGATGGTAACTACATTATGATTAAGGGGACAATACATCAAGAAGACATAACACTCATCAACATATATTCACCAAATTAAGGAGCACCAAAATATATCAGATGACTATTATCATCTCTGAACATTATAGATATTACAGAAAATACATAGGTAGCGGGAGACTTCAAACACACCATTCTCAACAATGGATAGATCAATGAGACAAAAAATAAGGACACTAAAGCTCTAAATAAGGATCTAAACCTCATGGGCTTAACAGACATCTATATAACACTGCATCCCCCCAAATTGGAGTACACGCGGATCAAGTGCACGCGGATCATTCTCCAGGATCAATCTCATACTGGAACACAAGACAAACATCAACAGGCATATGAAAAAATGTTCAACATCACTTGTAATCGGGGAAATGCAAAATAAAACCACAATGAGATACCATCTTACACCAATGAGAATAGTACATATTATAAAAACTAGCAACAACAAATGTTGGCAAGGATGTGGAGAAAAAGGAACTCTACTACACTGCTCATGGGAGTGCAAACTGGTGCAGCCACTATCGAAAGCTTTGTGGAGGTTCCTCAATCTGCTAAAAATGGAGCTTCCATATGACCCAGCAATTCCACTCCTATGTATCCACTCAAAGGACACAAAAACATTAATTCAAAAGGACACCTGCACCCTTATGTGTATTGGAGCAGTATTTACAATAGGTAAGTTATGGAAACAACCCAAATGCCCAAAAATAAATGACTGGATCAATAAGATGTAGTATATATACACAATGGAATATTACTCAGCAACCAAAAAAGATAAACTCATGCCATTTACAGCAGCATGGATGGAGCTGGAAGGGATCATGTTCAGTGAAATAAGCCAGAAAGGAAAAGAAAAATACCGAATGGTCTCAGTTATAGGAGGAATGTAGAGGATCCAAATAAGGGGTTAGGAAAAAAAAGTAACTATAATAAAGTAAAAAATCAAAATCAACAGGCAACTATAAACCAGAGATATTCTGCATAGGGGGAGAAGGGAGTAGGATCAAAACGGGGTGGAAAAAGTCCAAGGGACCATGGTGATAGTTCATGGGTGAATGGTTTGTAGGAATTTCATGGGGACTATAACTGAAATGAAAATGCATACATTGTACAAAAATGTATTCTAATATCCTTCTATTTCTTTCATGAATCCTGGTCATTGCCCTTATTGTGACTATTAATTTATTGACAGTTTCTAATTTTCCTGGTTGGTAGATTATCCTCTCATTGGCCTTAAACTATGTATTCTGGAATACATTTCAGTTATGCTTTCCTAAGAACTTACTGGAGCCATGACCTACTGCTATTTCCACCATGTAATTTCCAGTCACAGGTTAAACCAATTGTCTGTGTGTATATATGTGTACACACATAAATTTCTGTAAGATTCGATGCTGAAGGAAGTCACTAAACCAAATGGACTGGATGCATCCATCATAGAACATGCTATCTGACCTTAGTTGAACTCTTGGGTCAGCTTCATCCCTACTTCACCCTAACAGCTATTATAAATACTAATCATTTTCAAGACATAAACCTACTTTCACTTTATTAGCAGATATTTCAACAAATAATGGAGATCAAAGTTATCCACAAGGGCTTCCTGATTTTTCCTCTCCTCACCTCACAGTCTTTCCTCTGCTATTACTAATTCCCTCATCCTTCTTGTTTCAGAGGAAGATATAACCACCTTCATTTTCCCTTTAGCCTCTGC